CCATCATTTTGATGAGTTTTATCTTGTTATTCTGGAAGCTCTGCAGTCTCTTTAGTACCCCCTTTCTCCAGAAGTTCTACCAAGAGTAACTCTAATAATCCTATTTTGTTATCTTCTACTTTAGCAGCCCTCAAGGAACCTAAACTTTAAATCTTGACTGACTGCAATAACCTCCTCTAGCACAGGATACTACAAAGTAACTATAATGCCACCATATAGTCTAATGGCCTTTAAGAGATAGGACACACCTTCAGTTTTTACTGAACAGGAGGCTTTCTTCTGTATCTACAAGTAGCACCAGTGCATAAAACCAAGCCTGCGTGACAGGTAGGACTGAGGTGGATGTGCATAAGCTACTAGTCCAGTGATGAACTGCAAACTGCTATGTGCAGTCCACAAGAAGTTACAAAGTGCACCCTGCCCCTGCAGATGGTGGACCTACCTGTCCCAGATCAAGTGGGATTTAGAATCATTAGTTGTCCAGGAAAGTGTAAGAGTTCAGCTGGGAAGACACAGACCCTGCAACTCGCTTCAATATGTTGCTCAGTTGTGAGAAGTAACAGGTTACAAAGAATTCTTCGCCCTTTCTTGACCTGTTCCTGGCTCTGAGCAATATATTAAGTACATTAAACAAATTCTACAGTTGTTTCCTTACTCCTGTGGCTCACCTTTCTCCTAATAATTAAAATGCTTCTCACTGTCCCTACCATTTGCATGCACATTAAAGCCAGGGAATACAGCTTCCTGCTCCTAATGAAGCCTGTATAGATCACAAAAGCATCCAAATATAATGATGAGTAAAGGAAGTAGCACAAACCTGCGATAGCGGGGACGATAGGTAGGATTCCTGTGAACTTGTTGAAGTTGTCCTCCTTCTGTGACCCCATCCTTGATTTCTCCCTCACCACCCTACAAACAAAAGAAAACAGAAGACAGAGACAAAGATGAAGTGTTAGCTTATTTCATGGGCAGTGTATTAACTATGAAGCCCAATGATCTGAACACAAGTTCAAAACCAGTATATCAGTACAGAAACACCAGCATACCAGGTAAAAAGAAGCAGATACTCAAAAGGCTTTAATGCGGGCAGAGATAAGAGGACAGAACAAGAGCCAATAATGCTGCCCTTGTTCCTCATAGTAACAGGCTAAGAAAGGCAGAGAACCTGATAGTTCTCTGATGCATATGAAAGTGCATTTCAAGACATGACACTGCATTGTAAGGGGTAAACGTGTTATGGAGAGGCAGCTATTAATCAGGACACTTCCGAATTTGGAAAGCTAACTGAAAGGCATCATGCTGAAACTTGCCAGAGACCAATTCTGGCTTCATTCTACACAAAGCCCCGTTCCACAGAGAACTCCCACAAAAACATGAAGAATTTTAAAGATAGAAAAAAAACCTGTATTACATCATGTCAAATACTCTTCTACACACTCAACATTTTCAACCTTTCAGAGATGCAGTAGTTACCTTTCCCCTTTAGTTGTTAACTGATAAAGCTGTATTTCAGTTTGGGCTTTTTTTTCCTACTTTGTTGGGGTTTTTTTTGTAATTTTTTAAAATGCCAGCCATCGGTAATGTCTGTTTTATACGTTACCTGATTTACAGTTCCCATTGTACTATTCTTCCCTTTCAAAGAAGGAATTTAACAAGAGATCTGGAAACAGAAGTGCATCTTTTGCATCTGATGCAGTAGGAAACAAAAGCTATTGCTTCCTGACAGCCTTCAGTAGTCTACATTAAGTTTGACAGGTCTCCTTCCAATTTGACATAGCTATTTTAACTACTACCATCCTATTTTGCTCTATTTTAACCGGCAATCTCAGGTAACTGTTTGGGTAGTGAGCTTTTCTTTAGCCAAGACAACACAATGATAAACATTTAGAAAGGCTGCAGCATTGTAACAAGAGCTGGAGGCTGTAACAAGAAATCTTGGGGCATTAAATGAACCTCAGGGACCGACCTGAACAATCTTCTCTTCTCACCACAGTAAAATACCCTCCAAATGCATTAATAATTCAAGCACTCTTTGTAGCTTTCCAAGTTTCCAAAAAGCACAGAGACATGGCTTGAAGGCAACTGGAATATTTCACATGCTGTACCTAGAAGAGCTATACCGGCTACTCTTAACAATATGACAGGGTCAGCTGCTGGGGTGAGTAGAGAGAAATCGGAATTCAATTAAAAAACCCATCATAAACAACATCCATTATGTTCTGTCATGTATAAAACTGATCAGGATAACTAAGTATCCACAGGAACTCCCACTAAGTAGGTAGTAATAATAGGTAGCATCTGATAGCAGTAGAGAAGTAAGAGAGACTTGGAACTCAAAAGGAAAATTACACTTCTGAGTTTACGACAGTATTATACTAATATCTACTTTGCAATACCAATCTACCCAGTTTGTATCAAGATGCTTTGTACTACATAACTTTACAGTTTAATAGACCTGTGATGGTGGTCAGAAGCGTCTCAGACAGTAAGGCGAGAAATAACACTGCCAGTATTGTATGTGGCAACAGTGATTTGGAGGTCTTGGGATTTGCCTTTTGTGAAGCAAGGGCTTAATGCTGCTCCTGCTCTCACTCTTTCTCACGAGGACTGGCAAAGCACAGAAACAGGAGAGAGCAGAAGATGTGCAGGGAAGAGAGGACATAAAACTAAAACAATCCTGAACATGTTCCAGCATAATCACCATTTCTCTTCTCCAGGATTTCTGAGCAAGCACACGCTAAATCAGCGCTCGGTTCTAGCACTGCAATGCCGGAAATACAGAACCACAAAGGCCTAGTAGGTCTTGTCTGAGGAACAATGTGCCAGAAGCTAACAAAGCATCAACCAGCCTAATTGTAGGGAGGGGCACACAACAACTTTTTTTTTTTTCCTTTAATCAGCCAGAGCTCTCCTATAGCACTTGACAGTCAGGATCACATTCACAGCTCTTTAAAAGGCAGTATTGAATTTTTACATGATTTTAATGGCACAGCCCAAGTCTACTCCTCCCCACAGAGGGCTGCACTGGAATCTCAGATAAAAGACTCCATCTCCAGTAGGGACAGAAAGAACAACTAAACCTGATGAAGCATTACTTGAAAACAATGCAAACATTTTCTTATTCATCTTGAACTTAGTGTTGCTCTGTCAGTATTTTAAGTGGGTTTGGCTTAAATAATCAGTTGAAAACAGATTAGCAAATCAACTGAATTGCTTAGCCCTTGTGATACTTCTAAAATTCAGTTAAACATATTAGTATCACTGTCAATTGATCTAGGTCTATTGGCCAGAAGTGAAGTATGGCTCCAGAATAAAATAATTATGCTGTCAGAAGTCACTGAAACAGATGCAATTTTACCAGAAAACAGAACCTGAGCTTTGAGGTCTTGTTTTACTATACTAAGTAAGTCTATTAGATTAATTTATTAGGAAAGCTTCATTTGTATTCTTAAAAGCACCACACCATGTCTAGTACACACATGGTCCTGTTCACTCAGTCTCTTCCACAGGAACCTTCTAACTCAGTGTTATACGTTCTAACAAAAAATTAGCTCGTCCTAAGGGACAAATGCATGAAGCTGGCCTGCTGCACTCTACATTTTCCTCTGAAGAAGACCAAGATAGCAGGCAGGCTGTGATTCCCCATGAAGATCTCGCACAGATTTCTCTAACCCTACAAAGGTACAAAATTTTATTGCTGTCCCCCAAAGAAGTTTTGTAAGGATTAACTATAACTGCAATAAGTTTTTTTTACCCACCTGCTTCCCCTATTTTCTTCTTCATTTGTTCTTACATCTCTAGATCAGTCTCTAGCTTTTGTGTACTACTATTCATCTTTTCAGGTCTCCTCTCTACAAGAAATAGTGTCAGCCTATAAAACAGTTCTCAAACTATTCCACTTGTTTTCCAACTCACTGGTCTAGAGGCTTCTTCTATTAGTAATGCACACAGTATGTACATGAGGACATCACTGGTTCTCAAGGTTATTCCATGATTCATTGTCTGTTCTAACATTCTGACTACAGCTCCACACCATGTCTATGGTGTCACAATTTAGTGACAAGCACAGCTTCTTTTCTGTAGTAGGTACAATTAAGAAACTTCTGATATGAACAAGTACTTTCCACAGAACTCTCCATGCAATCCAGATGCAGGTCCACTGGAGCTGGTTAAATACCTCAGATTCCTCAAGGTTCTCCTCGCTGCTGACAAATTCACACAATGTGTTCAAAAACAGACCCAGTAAGTTACATGCAGAGTACAGGAACATTTGAGCTAGCATGGCAAACAGAGGATAGCATCTTTAGTTAGCTTAAAGCATCTTTAGTTAGCTTAAAGCCATGCCAGTAAGCAAGGATAAATCCATTCTTGCTGCACTGCAAGGTTGGACTGGAGTTGCTAACAGACATCAATAAAGAGTTCTAAGTTTCAAGAAGGCCACCATGTCAAAAGTCACCTCAACAAATTAAAGAATTCCGCCCCCCCACCCCCCAGTAAATACAGGATTGATGATGTTGCCAGCTAAGGTCTGGGAAAACCTTTCACCTCTGCAGCCTAGTATATCTTTAAACATAGTGGGCCTGGGTAATACTAAAACCTTTTCCTTGAGGTGTGCAGCAAGTTGCCTGCAGCTGAGTAAATATCCTTTCAGCAAACACAACCCAAGAGTTACCATCAGCAACTCAAACTTGTCTCAGAAATATCCTACAGGACAGTTAGCCAAAAACACTTGCTCAAGTAGAGAGGCACAACCTTTAATGCACCTTTTAATGGGACCATACAGAATAGTGTACACATACTGCTGTGGCTCACGGACCACCTTTCTTCCCCATTTACAGGCATGGGAATGGAAGGGGAAAGAGCAGGCCTTGTTAAAGAAAAAGGGTATTAGGAAGAAGCATCTTTCTAGATGGAGTAGACATACATCAGTTAACACATTCTTCACATTGAAACTGAAAGTGAAAAATCTCCAAAAAGGAAGAAATGATGGCTTCAGATAAGGATTCACTCTACTCTCAACTGATCTATCAAAGCAAGCACACGGGATGACAAAAATACCTGGAAAAGTTTGAGTGGTTTCACTGACCTACACTAGCATAACTTCAGGGACAGTCCCTGCACAGCCCTTTGCAGTCCCTGCAAAGACTTCCTTAAAGTGGAGCTTTGACTTGTTCAAGCAACTATTATGTGAGTGGGTAAGGAGGCCCAACAGAACTGGTTGCACCTCGGAACACAAGAAGGGTCCACTGCAACATGCAGAAAGTTGAGCAGGCATAGCAGAACATCAACTTTGGCTGCACAAGGAACTTCTGACTGAGCTCAAACATGAAAAGGAAGTTTCACTTAATCAAGTCTTACACATACAAAACTATGAGACTACACAGGATACATTCCAGAGTGCTGAAGGAGCTGGCCAGTGTCACTGCCTGGCCAATATCATCTCTGAAAGGTCACAGCAATGAAACAGAATTTACTCTTAATTTTAACACGATACCAAATCCAGAGGAGCATTCAATGCATTGATGGGAAGGCCTGACATTCAGAGGCTACTCAGCAAGCTGAAAAGAAGGACCAACAAACCTCATGAACAATGGGAAACAATGAACACCCAGGTTAATGTCCTATTGTAAATTATCATTTGCAAGTTTTGAAGGCTGCAATTCTTACAGAGTCAATGATCCCAGAGAAAGAGCAGTATGTTTTAGGTTATGAAATAAGAGATGACTTCATAAGACATCAGGCACCAATAACACAACAGCTAAGGTGTGGTACCCACACCAAATCAGTCTGGGGACTCAGATATAAGTAAGCCAAGGGAAGACAGTGTAATACCACAATTTGTTCCCCTTGCGTACATCTTCAAGCACCAGGATCCAAGTGTGATATAGTGTCACATGCAAACCGGATTTTTAGCTGCATGAGTTTGCATCAGACATCCAAGAGAACATGTCCAAACATGAGTACCCTGAGACTGAGCGTTCCCTATGTCCAAGCTGGGTCTCACATTATCACTCTTCAAGCAGAAACAGCTGCTTTCCATACTCAGCAGTACACAGGGTTGTCCAAGCCTTAATATGTCTGCTCATTTAAAATCTGAAGCAGCTCCAAGACAACACCAATACCACCAACTAAAGCATCACTTCCAATAGAGACAGTTGAGGGAGATTTTAATCTCAGGGAGCAAAAGGAAACAGAATCAATACTGGAATGTAGCTAGTTGATGAGCTAGCAGGTAAGACCAGACACAAAGAGTGCTGAACAAAACCAAGTATCCTAGTTCTTTGTCACTTGGCCTGAAAGCTGAAGCTGCCAACTGTATCGCCACAAAAACAAAGATGTACTCAGTAATAAGCCATCAGTTACCCACACCAACTTCTAGCCGTCTCCAAGGGACTCAAAGAACACCTTTCACATTTAAGGCTCAGTGGCATCCAGCAGGATTAAAGAAAAGACCTCATGATAGCTAGTATAAACAGCTAGGCTTTAAGGAAGGATTTGACAACATTTATTCTGTTTGCCCCCCATGCTGGCAACTCTGTAGAACAAAATGAGAAGAGAGTTATGTTGTTTGGGCAGAGACTTCCACCAGGGCTCTCATATTGGATCACTCACACATTTCTGCAAGCAATGATCACAGACTCAACTATTAAAGCTAATAAAGCCTGGAGTATATTCCAGTTTGTTGGATTGTTCCAGACACCAATTTAGCACAAGCACCATGTGGATAGGAGTAGCAACTGCTAGAACTACAGCCATGTACTTCATACTTACTCCTCCCTCTGCAAAAACTTGCAGGGAAGCTGCTTAGGAAGGCTTGCAGATGTTATGCACAGTGGTGCATAGCTAGTTTAAAGAAAAAATACATTATCTTTACACTGAACTGCTGTAGGCAGAAGCCTATTAAGGGATAATACATGGAGGTTTCAACTAGTTGGTCAAAGTAGTACAACACCATGCAAAAGCAACAAACTTCTAAACAAATCCTGTTTTCCAAGTAACCCTTCCAAGTTAGGGTTATGCTACTTAGAGTAATAAATCCTTCCCCTTGCTTCAGGTAAAGGGCATGGTGAACCACTTAGGTGTCTCACTCCTTTGTGTGTACTCTTCGAACAGATACCTTAAAACTCAGAGATGCTTTTAATGCATGCTAGAAAGACATGCCAAGGAAGGGCCTACAGGACACCCAGTAATAGAAGGTATGAGTATCAACATCAATGATGTGCTGGAGGAACCCAGAGTATTACTGAAGAACACTCACAACTTAGTTAAGCATTGACAGTTTACTATATGCCAGTGCTGAACCTGTCATTCCCTCTCATGAGGGGATCAGAAGACTGCTGAGGAGGTAGGATAACCACCACTAAAGAAATTAAACTTACACTTCGAGGTGGTCCACGGCGTCGGCCAAAATAGCCACGTCGATAGCGGCGCCGGTCTGCAGCGTAGCGGCTGCCTTCTACAGGGACTCCATCTGGACCAGTGACATTAGCTGCTTCTGCACCCTAAAAGGCCAAAAGAAAGTAAACCAGGGTGGTATGAGAAGAGAACAACCAGCTACAGGGAGAAGATGAAACAGGAAAGAGGCTTTTTTGCATCAGTTCCAAGCTACAGAGATTCCTTCCTCCCACATAGTGCAAAAGCAAGTTTGTTATTGTCAACCCCATAACCAAGAGTTATGATCGTGAGTTAAGACCCTATTGGCCAGACTGAGTTCAGAGGAAAAAGCAAGGAGTAACTGATTAAAGACCAAAAGAAAAGACCTCAGAAAACTCAAAAAAGTTTGTGAAAGTAGAAGCACAAAGAACTTCTTACAGTTATTAAGCTACCAGACTCCAAGACAAATTCTTCAGGGCAATACATACTCAGTTAATGATGGCAGGCTACAAGCTCCAAATTCTCTATGAAGTAAAAGTTACAGATTCTGGAAGCACTAGGAATCTAGTTAGAGTTCTGATACGTATCTAGAAACACTTCTTAATGAAGCCTTTAAAAAAACATATCTTCCACAGGAAAGCTGTATGAATGCCACCCACCCCAAGGATTAACACATTAGACAAAAAACCACCAGATACACAGCTAAGGTTCTGTGTTACTCCCCACTAGAGTGATGTTAACTCTGTTGGACCATGCCCTTAAGTCTCCATAATCTCTTACCTTCTCTCCCTCGACCACATCAAATTCTACAGTCTCTCCATCACCAACACTGCGCAGATATTTCCGTGGGTTGTTTTTCTTTATTGCCGTCTTTAAAGAAAGAAGATACAGAAAAAATACCTTAGACATTCATGCCTGTAGATGAGGGAAGGACAGTATTCTCCTGCTACAATCCCAACTCTACACACCAGATCAGCTGTCACACTGAGACATTTCAAATACATTGATGTCTCTCTTATTCCACAGGCCCTCCAATACTCAGTTCAAGGTTTACTTCTTTCTCAATACCATGAGTTTACAAATCAGCTGTTGCCCCAGGATCCCCTCTGTCAAGCCTACTAAATATTTCTGTATGAACAGAGTTCACACTGAGTGGTTGATCTCTTGCAAGCTGTACCAAGGCAGCTCCAGCAGCAAATGTCACCCATGCCTTCACAGTCATCAGGAGACCTGTAGACCACCTACAGAGAACTTAAGGCCAGGAGCACTTTTGTAGAAGATGACATTAACTATAAGGTATCACGGCAACTCCTAGTAACTAGAGAAGACTTACTATCTGGTGTAACATAAATAAGCATTTTACCTAAGCACTGTAACGGAGACCCCCAAAAATTAGGTGAGTCCCTAAAGAACACAGAAATAGTACCAGAACAATCACAGTCTTAGTCATCTCCTGGACGGAAATCCGAAAATACTATTAACAACATGGCTTTGGATCAAAACCGGCTGAAAATGTCCTCAGACTCACAGGAACAACTCAAACCTCCCAAAGCAAGTTTCAGCCTGTCAATTATGGATGCCTTTCACTCTGTGGAGTATTTCTAGGATTCCACAAAAGGCAGTTAGCAAGACAAGCCTACTATCTATTCACTAGGTACAGGTTCACAAACTGAAGAGGCTGGGGGAGAAAAAACCCAACCAAAACCAAAACACACATATTGTACAAGCCAATCTAGTAGCCAGCTTTTTACCTCAGTTCTTAGATTATTAAAGAACAATTCACTTTAAGTTTCCCCGATATGAGCATGTTTTGTTAGCGTGAAAGAGGCAGGTGCAGTTCCAGTAGACAGAAGCACACATGGAAATACAGGGCACAAATCTGGCTTAAGAAATGGGATGTAGGGCAGAAACAGTTGTCATATCTATCTGCAGTTCAAGAAAAACAGGCAAAATGAAGATAGTTGAGTTGTTGCCTGTGTGTGGCAACTACGTTCATTCAGTCAACAATAGCCCAAAAATACTTCCCACTGAAGGAAAAGCTCTAATCAGTTTAAAGTTGAGCTTGACCAGTTTAGGAAAAGTATTCTTATTGTTGCTGAACACAGTCCCCTTTGTGTTTCAGGCAATAGGCCAACAAGTCTTTTTATCCCTACATCTAGCCACACCTTTCCCTGTACCCTGCAGTGTCCCTGAACAGCTTAAGGAAGAATGCAAGAGTGTACATATTATTGCTACCAAAGCAAAAACAACCCAAGAGGTTGTTTTTCTTTTTTTTTTTTTTTTTTTTAATACAGGAAGAGAACGAGCTGCTTAAGTGAATTCTTTTGGGAATTACTTTACAAAGCAAACTCCCACCATCAGCTGAGACAACTTTGTTTGCTTTTTGCCAACCTATTAGCATAACTGCACCATTTCTAAAATCAGCTGAAGTGCTAGCTTTTCTGTAAATGCTATATATCAATACTAAAATCATTATCTTCACTGCAGATTAAGGGTTTAATTCTTTCACCACCACTTGTACCAAGACAACTGACTCGAACTCATTAAGACTTGTGCTCTGCATATGACGGAGATGTCAACAAGCTGTGTTTCAGACTCCTCCCCCTTCCTTTTAAGTGCAGAGGAAGAAAGGACTACCAGATTTCTTTTCAGCAGAAGGTGTACTTAAGATTAATCAAGCTCCTGAAACATCCTCCAAGAAGGGTAATGGAAGATAAATTCAACAGGATTACACATGTTCTGCTCCAGCTTTACGGACAGAAACTTCAAAATTCAGATTTGCAATTGAATAACCTGCCAATAGGAGACAGAGGCTGCCATACAGTAGGCTGATATTTGTTTTATAAAGGCAACAAGGAACAATTTTAACTAAGTCCTAGAATTCAGAGCAGAAGCTATAAGGCTTTACTGCTTACTAACTCAGCTGCAGGTAAACGTTACTGAAATAAGGTTCTAACAAGCCTAAGCTCTAAGCTTGATGAAAAGACTTTTACTCTGTATATCCAGAGGGGAGAGAGCACTATTGTCCCTGTTACTGTTCACCAGCATCCTGCAGGCTCCAGCTTCTTTTGAATTAAAGACAGATGTTTTGTCTTAACAAAGACAGCACTCAACAATTAAGACAGAGCCTTTCCTTTCCCAGGGGGACACTGATGAACAGACAGCTTCAAGAGTCTTCAGAGCTAGTTCCGTATTTTGTTTGGAAGAGTTCTTTCTATATCCTTGTGATGTCTCCACATCATGAGCACATCCAGCACTGTCACATCAGTAGCCAAAATTTGTTACACCAGTTACTGGTGCACATACACCAGGCTGTACACAATGAATACAATCCAACAAAGTGACGAAAAAGAAAGACCTGCACAGAAGAAGAGATTGACTCCTCCTCACTGCTTACGATTCAAACTATGCCTGATTAAATTGAACTTCTCTGGCTACTGACACTTTCAATGGTGTTAAATTGCAAGACCTTCCACACCCCAGACACACTCCACCCCACAAGGCAGATGGATCCCTATTGCTCGAACAGACACAGTGCCCTAGATAGCACCTTTCATGAACCACACGGACAAGGATGCAAGCAAGATGAAGCAGGTGAAGAATTGCCCTTCCCTAAAACACTGCTTGGGTCCCCTGCAAGACAAAGGGTTAATTCAAAGCAAGCCATGCATGCCCTAAAGAGAAAAGCATTTTAATCTGTACTGGGTTTATAAATAGCATCCAATAACCAGGCACTGAGCATTAACCCCCATTCCAATCATGAGATCGGCCTGTTCCCTCCCCACTGTGGATGCGTGCTGGGGAGGCAGGGAGGAGGCTGTATCTATTCAACTAGGTCAGCCTTATTCTGAAGGGATCAGGCATGTAATCCAGCCCCTCCCGGGACAGGCGGGGAGGAGGGGCACAAGCGGCACTCGCCATAGTGGAGAGTGAGCTCGCAGCAGGATGTTTGCTTACGCGTTGGATTTGCCTCCCTCGCCGGGCGGGCCCGTCCTCTGGCTCTGCCGAGCCAAGCACTCAGGCAGGAGCTCCAGCCAGAAAGCCCCAGGCTCTGGTAGCGAGCACGTTCATGTACAGGAACAGCTCGAGATGGAAGAGCTGGGGAACACCCGACTGCAGCCAACCCGGGCCAGAGTGGGAAGCATCTGCTTTGCCACGCACAGCCCACCAACAGGGTTAGCCAGATGCAAGCTTGCACATGATGTGGCATTTCTGAAACATCAAGCCAGTTTTGCTCAGTGCTCACTACAAGAGGATTTCAGCCACAGGAGAGAAGTTACACACACATTCCCCCCCTCCCCCCCCAGTTTATATTTATGTGAATAATCTCCACAGGTGAAGGAGACAAAACAGCTCAGACAATACTAGCTTGCTGTGGGCCTTCACCATTTGGGTCTCCACAAACACCCTTCCCACGCAGCACAACTGATCCATGTGACTTCTGTCATCAGCACAACAACCATTTTCCAGGATATCTTGTCACGGGTCTCAGGGAGACCCCATTTGTCTTCAAGGTAGTTTTACACTGCTGCCTATCCCGAACATGTTTCTGCTACTAGAACTCTTCCCACCTTCCCCCGGACACATTCCCATGGGGCTGCAGATGCAGCATCTGTGTCAGTGTTCACATGGCACGCAGTCATTAAGGAAGGAAGGTGACCATTAGAAATTGGTACATGCATTGAGAGCTCTTGCTCCCAGTCCACCAACTGAACTGGGAACGTGTACTGCACACACTTCCTGACATCTTCACTCATTACAGGTACTAGGCCTTGCTCCCTCCCAGCTTCATCTGTTTTAGGGATAACAGGTCTACACCCCTTGACCCAGACAAAGTTATCACAGGCTATTCAGTCATGAAGCCACAAAAACTAAACTAACCTTTGATGTTGACCAGCAAGTTTAACACAACTACATCCACACATATCCTTGTCTCGGAGTGTAAGTTTCCTGGTTACATTTGATGGAAATACTGCCACTTATGCCATAGAGAAAGCTCATGCTTTCAAGAATCACATGGGCCTGTGGACATTTCATATGGGACAAGCTCCAGGGGCAATATTTCATCGTCTGGTGAAGTAAAAGACTCAGATGATGCAAAACCAGATCCAAGCCAACTAATCAGCTTATATCAGTATGGAGACAGCATCCTCTGTCTTCCCATTAGTTGCCTGTGACCCTAGAGTCAGAGTATAAACTTAGAACAGCCTACTGACAGTTCAAGGAAAGTTAGCCAATGACAAGCCGCTGGGCAACCTCTCTCTGCTTGGGCACACTTGGCACACAGCCTTCCTCCTCTTTTTCCTAAGAGCAGCTGCCTCATGCAGCAACAGCTGATGGCAACCCAGGCTGGTCAAGAGCCAGACTAGATCACTTTCTCTCCAATACCAGGGAGGGCAGACACAGAACAGCCCTGCGAATGAAGAGAGTACAAAGAAACAGAAGACACAAGGAGAAATGGGGGGGGGGGGGGGGGAAACAAGCAGCAAGGTATTTACAAAACAGAGGAGTCATCTCCCCAGGGAAGGGACAACAGAACAAAACAAAACCACACCAAAAAACACCAAACCCAAAACCCTTTAGTGTTCAAATCAGAGCAGTCAAAAGAAAGTATGAAGGGTTGTAATACCTACTCCTTCAGTTATAACTCCAGAGAGAAGGAAAACATACCCTAATATTCCTCCCTGAAAATGTCAACATACATGTCCATTCAAGGTATTTGTGGTAATTATTCCAAGAAGCCAGGACAAGGTTGGATGGCTGTTTCAGGAAGTTGCATTAGAAACCTATCACAGTGCACATCTCTTAAGTACAATTACTGCTGTCTTACCTGATGAACAAACACATCTTCTTTGGTATCATTTCTGTGAAAAGAAAGTGAGAAGTCGTAAGAGTTTAGACTTAAATAGAAACCCCTGACTTCACAAGTGAAACCCTCCTTCCCCCAGCCTGTAGTACATCCCCTGGATTCCATACATTCTGTGTAAGTCTATGCTACCAAGACCCTGCTCTGAATTTCCAGGGTCATATGCTTGACAGCAGAAAGGACTCCCCACCCTTCAGAAGGGTAAGGGGACAAGGGGAGGTTCTCTAATCTTCTGGCAAACATTCAATATTTTGTTTTGACACGGGGCAGAGTTAACAACAGGACTTGCTTGCCTTTCACTATTCTACCCTCCCCAAAAAAAATTCCACAGGGGCTGCAACCTGAGCTCTTATCCCAGAGGTCAAACAAGACTATCAACAGGACTGGCCACAGCTGTTAACAGAGCTCTCCTTTCAGTGAAACTCAAAGCAACCATGCACAAGAGGTGTTAGGCGAATCCATTGGAGGGGAACCCAGACATGAACATTAGGTTGTCTGGATTAGGCCAGCCAGCCTAGGCTTCCACACGCAAAACATGGAGACAGGGCTGAGACCTTGACTCCATGTTCCCATACAACAGAAAGAGCCTAGACCCTGCTGTCTGTTCACTCCACTCCTCCTCTGCAGAGGGAACAGACGGGTCAAAGAGTTTGTGAAGATAATGCATAATCCAAAACTTGTTGCACTGGACTGAACTAATAGTAGACTTCAGCTTAGGAAGAAAGCTAACAAGTTATTACACAATATCCAGCTGAAGGCTCTCACCTCAGCTGCTATGAAAGACTTTAGAGTACTTCCTAATTCAAGCTTCTTCTAAAGCTTACATAACACTGGATAGTAGTCTCCAGAGATGGGGATTAACACTGTACCAGAACTGGCTTCAGATCCATGGAACAGGGCTCTTCTACCCCTTTCTACAGGGTCCAACTTACCCAAATCTACCTGCTATGTAACAGTTCAAGGACTTCCAGGACAAAATAACTTGACAGGTACGTCTTTTGCAAGACAAGCGTTCACCACGCAGGAGCTTCATTTTTCATGAAGCACACAAGACATTTAAGCCCCTCAACCCCACAGATATTCCAGCCTTAAAAGCCAGAGTTTTTTCCAGTAACTTGGAAGCGTGGGTCTTGTGCACCTACGGTTGGAGTGTGATCAGCATCACTTACAGCTATTTGGATTATCAATGCCATTCAGAGGTTTGTTCATGTTAGAGGAGAAGAAAAACAAGATACAAAGAGAGAATTTCTGTGAACCCAGGCCTAGAATATCTTCAGTTAGATGACATCAGAGATTCTCAGTGTATTTAGAGTAGGTACTTTGATCAATCAGTTAACACTTGAATTTTTATCCAAAAGTATTTCCCCTCATCCTCCAACCTTACTTGCACCTTTAAAAAAAGCCAGGCAGTCATGAAAGAAAATACAGTTCATTACAGGTGTAGTACAAGTAAACAGGAGAAACAAGTAACAGACTAAATTTGTAATGAGTTTGACCCTTTCTGTTTTCTTCCCATACGCACAACCTTCAATGGGGGGTGGGAAGAGTCCCCTGAGATGATATCCAAGTTTGCTGGATACCTGGCCAAATCTGGCTGAAAACTGCATGAACCTGTAGTCAGGTCCTTGGGTCTCTGCTGCAGTTACTAACGCATGGCATACTATCTGTACCATGAGTCTTAGTACAGTATAAATACGACTATCATAATTTAAACATACCTGTTGATAAAGCCATATCCATTTCTGACATTGAACCACTTGACTGTGCCAAGAACTTTGGTGGCTGGAAAGAAAAAGTTGAAGAAGTTACTCTAAACCATAATGAAGTAAAAGAATGTTACAAAAATACTGGCATACCTGCACATGAAGTCACAACCAGACCTATTCTGCTCCCTTCACACTCAAAGCGTACCTTCATCTCCTACTTCAGTTTATACTAACACAGTAGCAGGAAGCGGTGCTTTCACTTGCTGCTCTTCAGCCAGGAGTTTACCACACAGCACCTAGAATGAAGCCTGGCTCTATTTTCAGAATTGGCCATCCATCCCTTCTCTTTTTTATTTCTTATCCAGAAATGGGCAGTAAAGCTGAAAATCCCACTGCCATTCATCAGCTCTCTTTAGCTTAGTAGCTAGACACAAAACATAGCTGAAGAAAGTTGTTTAAAAGTTTGCTCTTTCACTCAAGAGTTAACCCTTCCTTTCTTCCTTGGAAGCCAGAACTGGCCAAAGAAGCAGTATCAAGCACCATGCAACTCTCTCAAGCGGAGAGGCAGCAAGCACATCCTTATTTTGGACAAGCTCTTTCTTGCACTGTCAAGATCACTCTAACCACATGAGACCCCACAAGATGTTTGGTTGTGGTGGTTTTTTTTTTTTTTTAAATATTCCTACTTCTAGAGATCTTCTGTGATTTACCAGTTACAAACTGAACAACTGTATGTTCCAAAGCTTCCAAGATCAAGACAAACTCCTGTCTCAACACCAAAACAGCATTTTACTTAAAAGCCATACTGCAGTGTCTTATAGGATCTGGCGAAACCTGTTCCTCCCACATATAGGTACGTGTGGGAGGAACTCAACAGCAATGGAGGTAGTTCAACCTCTCCTTCCCTCTCAGCAACAGGGTGGAGACCATAAACTTGTGCTTTTCCAACCTGTAGGAAAGGGAGAATTTGGGGCTCTAGACTTTAATAGATGTTACTTATTACATAGCATGACCACAACAATCTAAATCTACATCATACTTATTTGATAAGGGTCTAGTCACCTGGAGATGACTGCTTGTTAAAAACCTTACATATGTTTGGTGGGTGGGAGGAACTCAAGAGACAATTAAAAGGAAAACAGTCTAGAGAGAATCTCCAGTTCAGAAGGCCAACCCATTCTGCTAGAGACAAGAACACGCCGCAAATTGCTACTTTCATCTGCTCTACACCTGCATTCTTCCCTAAACATCCCCTAGGAGATGACAGAGCTAGACAGACCTTTGGTCTCATGCAGTCTTGCCATTCTTATATACCCCTCCGACAGACAAGAAGAGCAACCTCTTCCTCCTCCCCTAAATACAGGGTTAAAGTAGGAATGTTTGCTGATAGCAGTCCTTTGTAATACTGTTGCTGTTATTGAAAGTAGTAACGGGCCGTTTCTCATTGCACTTTTAGAAATTAAGGTTTTGCTCTTCTTTAAATATGCAGATTTTCTGCTAAAAAAATTGTATTAGAATAAGCAAAACCATGTTAAGACTGAGACAGTTATTAGAGAAAAGGGCTCTACCTAGTACAGTATCCATTCCCAAGACTTCTCATTTACAGAGATAAAACCCTAAAGTTTCACTGGCTAGCACCGATTCTGTAACAATAACAGTCTTCAGCAACATTTATAGTTGTGCTTTTAGGTTTATTTTCATGGAGACATCCCTAGGTACAGACACTTATTTCTACCACAGAGGCACTGGCTACATGCAAGAGCTCACTGCACTAAGACAAGTCAACAGGGGAAGAAGAGAGGGAAGGAAAAAAAGGCCCAGAAACAGGTACCAATGGCACATGCAGGTTTTAGCCTGCTTTAAGAAACAAGGCTAATACCACCGATTCCTCCACCACCATCCTTTCCCTCCCCCACAAAGCAGCTATCAAATCTGTTGGCCTATTTCAGTCAGATTAGGTAGAGGGTGAGAAATCTAGGAAGCCTGACAAACTCTCAGACGAGCTGGAAAGCTGGTGGAAGGAGAGGTAGTCAAAACTCACTCTACATGGCCAGCTGGCTGCTGATAAATGGAAGTCCACACACACAGCTTCAGAGCAACATTGCTCCTTTTGCACAAGCTGCCAGAGACCGGGGCGAGTCTCTAATACATTCCCTAGAACAGCGTACTGGGGAAATACCATTCCCTACCCACACTAGTCTTACAGTCTCCCCTAAGCGTTACTGTGGGGGCACAATCGTGATGCAATAGCATGACATTGAACATCCACATGGCCACGGTGCAGCCACTGCCAAGCCTGAGCTCTCACAGTGGGGAAAATCAGGCGAGGAGGAGGACAAGCCCAGAGGAAACCATAACCAGTTTTACTGACTAGTCAGAGAAGGCAGTTGATGTGATGACACCTATCCCACCAGCAAGTGAAAGCCCACGTATTTCTACAAGATGTTTCCCTCTGATAGCGTCAGAGTACAGCAATCATCAGCCACTCCTACCCACGCCAAAATAGCCTTTTCATTAGTTTTAGCAAGGAAAGCCAAAGTTTCCTGTGACCAAAGTTGACTAACCTTTATCCTTATTCCTAGAAGTCAGACATTGGGATGCCCTGGGCAAGCATCAGACCTTGTTTCTAATGGGATCTTTGTAAGAGGAGACTTAAGTGAACATAATTACAAGCCCATTAACAGGGACATTTGAGGTGGACTTGAACAAAAGTCCATTTTCAATTAGCATTATCAATGATCCTTCTCCTTACAACTCCTGCTAAAAAGTTTGCCTAGCAATAGGGACAGTGTGCAAAACCATCACCATGGTGGGTTTTTTTCCTGCTAGACCAGGAAAGGCACTTGTGCCTTGACTTCCCCCTCCAACCCCCTTCTCCAAGCAGTAACAATAGGTGAGCAAGATAAACACATTACCAAGAATTAAACAAGCCACATTAAGGCAAGAAGCAGCCAGACACACCAACAGATATGGATGTGCCTTGACTGATTAGTGACAAATCGGATAACAGAACGGGGGCGGGGGGAAATCACACAAACCATACATCCAATTTCCATTTTGCTAGAATCCTTCCTTCCTACCTCAGCTACAGAGAAATCTTTTACCTGGCTCCCCTATCTGCTGCAGTAAGACCTCA